GTGTTTGTAACTGTAGTGAACTGATTGGTTATTAATCATTCTGATGAAGGCGACAGTAGTCGCTGAAAATTTGATCTCTGTGTAATTTTTGTGTTGGAATACAGTACAACGTTTTACTATCATAATGATTGCTACCAACACAGATGAACTTTCATGATTATCTGGTACTTGTTCTATAAAAACGTGGTCTTGGTAACAGTGCTCAGAAGACACAAGGCGACTGGGCGGTGTCTTTAAACAGACAGATAATTAGGGGTCATGAAAAGGTTGTAACGATCAAACGAAGGTATGTCTGTAGCGTTAGCACGAAACGTGACCTGACTGATTAACACCTAAAAGCCAACAAACATGGGTATTTGAAATCATTATAAATATAAAAATATGCAGCATAAACATATCCACTTATGAGCTATTGATCGGCCAGTGTGCGGAGGCCTCAAAAGACATTTCCCATCATTTTACCATGCATATAGATAAACTCAAATGCCTTTATAATGTAGCCTCCTTTGCAGGCCTCCTGGCGGGGGGAGTTTCTGTGTTTTGGATGATTTTTAAGGGTTTTTTCCCGGCCATCCTTCAATCATCCGCTCAGAGGAGGCTTCTACCCGCTACGGTAAAACAACGCGTTAAAAAACAACAAAACGCAGTATCAAAACTCCCACCTGCCAGGAGGCCTGTACAGGAGGCTATTTTCAATACATGTTTACACTCCCAAACCAGTATTGTAAAAGATGTCATGTATATTGGAAGAGAAGTTCAGGTTTTCTCTGTGTGTTGACGACAATGCCAAAACGTACTTTAAAATTTCGAGAATCGAACATATTAAAGCAACAAAGGACGATGGGAGTGAATATGTCTAAAACCAAATTCCTATCATTTGAAATTTCGTCTTATTCAACATATCGTTCCTACTGTGAGATACCTGTGAAAAAGCTGTGCTTTAATTTTGGCCCAAAGCTAAATTAATTTGACAGACCGATGGCAAATGTACACGTGTCGTTTGACAGCGAACGGCACAGCCCAGGTCTCATACACGTCACTGTGTACAAAACTGGAAACATTTTGGCGATATTTACTCGTCACGAACATCTAACATGTCGCATAACGTAAAAAGCTATGTTGTGCTGTGTGTATATGTAGTGCTTACGGTATGTTTGTAGGTGTTCATAACCGGAGGTGTGTAGGGGAATGTCAGTTAACTCTGCCAGGAGTCATCAAAACGAACGACCCCTCCCCCCTCATAATGGAACGAACCATGTACGGTTAGCGTACCAAATTCCAATGTTAAACGCCCGCATCTTCACAGCAACAGCCTGCCTTTATAATCATCTATTACAACGCAGGTATTCTAAAAAAAAAACACAGAAATGTCTTACCTTGAAGGAACCAAGGAGAAGACAAGCTCACGGTGTCGCCAGATAAAGAACACGTTTTAAAAGAGATACGCCCCCTAAAAAAGTTACCTAACAGCTTCTGTCAGTCACATCATGGAATAGTTCAGCCCCTGTCACGTGTAACCGAATATGGCCCCCCGAGCAAGTTGTCTGGCTGTCAGTGAGGTTGGCTATTGTTCTGTACTCTCCAAGCAGAGGTTGACGGTGGAAGATCGTTTGCTTTTTATATATGGTCCGTTTTTGTCTCTACCACGTAGAGAAAAAAAACGGACCATATATAAAAAGCAAACTATCTTCCACCATCAACCTCTGCTTGGAGAGTAATTGTTCTGCTGCTCCAGCCGAATGGTATAATATGTTTCAAACTGTTTGTTCGGTGGTTTGCAGTAGGCAAGCCGCGGACGGTGCGTAGTTTGGAATCAAACTTGCTTGACGTGAAATTTTCTCTGCGTGTCGACGAAAATGCGAAAGCGTGCTTTAATTTCAAGAATAGAACGGATTAAAACAACAAAGGACGACGGGAGTGAACTCCCATTTGATATTTAGTCTTATTACCTTCGTCAGAAGGTTATTTATATTTTAGGTACTCGATAATAGGGGTTGCTGATTTTGTCATAACTTGGGGTGCAACATGTATCTTTATGATATTTGGTAGGTAGGATGAGGTTGGGAAAAGGAAGGTCAATGTGAATTTTGGGTACTCTATCGGTTTTGTAAGGTACTGTAGCGGGGTACATGACTATGATATCTCGTGCTGTAGACATGCATATGGTCTTGATTTTAAGTGGGACATGTTTGAGCAGGAAGTATCTGACGTGGTTTTCAGCGAAATGGCTGCTTTTTTAGAGCTGCTGTGGCCATTTTTATGACGGAATGTGACTTGACGGGATAACTTTTGATGTTGTGAATGGTTTTTACAGTTTTCGTAGGTAGATTGTAGTGTGGAAAAAGAGTGTAAAGGTCACATTTGGGCATTCTAAGGTATTGGAGTGGCACCTTTAAGTGTTTGCATGTAGCTTCTAATTTAGATACTTGTGTTGGGGTTTTGAAAGTATTTCAAACAGATGACTGTGGACCTTCCGGGTTGTGACCTGGGGGGGGGTGATAGCAACAAGCAAAATGCATAGGTTCTATTACTTTTGTAGCTCACTTGCGTCCAGATTTGGGACGAACCCAGGTTACTTCTTCGTCGCAGTTTTGCACGTAGTGGTTGCTTCGGCAGCCTTTCTGCTGACGCAAACACAGTTTGTGGTTCCACAGTTCTATCTCACAACGTGAGCGCTTGAACTTGCTGTGGTGTTCTCCAAGCAGAACAATCCGCTTGTGAGCCTGTTGTATTTTTTTCCCGACGCTTTGCATTTGTTTGTTGGTCTGGTGATGTTGTCTTTGTTGGCTTGTTGTCTGTCCAGGATCTTCCGGAATCTGATGGTCTGGAAGAAATCCGGTACCTTCCGGAGCCTGACGGGCTGGAAAAATTGCAGGATCTTCCGGGTCCGGACGGGCCGGAAGAAATCCAGGATCTTCCGGGGCCTGACGGGCTGGAAGAATTCCAGGATATTCCGGAGCCTAGCAGGCTGGAAGAATCCCAGGATCTTCCGGAGCCTGATGGCCTGGAGGAAATCCAGAATCTTCCGGAGTCTGACAAGCTGGAAGAAGTAGCCGAAGTGCGAGGACATGATTAACGGATGATTGACAGATGAGTGAATTCCTCTAATCGTTTCTACGTGCTGCATACGTATTTTTTGCTTTAGCTTGGCTAGTAAAGTAAGATTTGTGTAACTTTCAGGAATGTTTACTTTTATATCAGTCCGCAAGTTACCGCTTGCTCGTACATTTTGTACAGAACTGGTAGACAGCAGATGGAAGGCCTGATATATAACAGCGAAAGACGAATGAATATGGCAACTGAAATGATTTGTCTGGGGAGGAGTGACACCATTGCCCTTATATGGAGTGATAGCTGCCGTGTGACGTCTTTGGTTGGATGAATATTAATGCTACCTTTACCCTTATATGGAGTGACAAGTGCCGCATGACGTCTTTGGTTGGATGAATATTAATACTACATTTGCCCTTATATGGAGTGACAAGTGCTGTATGACGTCTTTGGTTGGATGAATATTAATGCTACCTTTGCCCTTATATGGAGTGACACGTGCCGTATGACGTCTTTGGTTGGATGGATATTAATGCTACCTTTCTCCTTATATGGAGTGACACGTGCCGCATGACGTCTTTGGTTGGATGAATATTAATACTACCTTTGCCCTTATATGGAGTGACACGTGCCGTGTGACGTCTTTGGTTGGATGAATATTAATGCTACCTTTGCCCTTATATGGAGTGACAAGTGCCGCATGACGGCTTTGGTTGGATGAATATTAATGCTACCTTTCTCCTTATATGGAGTGACAAGTGCTGTATGACGTCTTTAGTTGGATGAATATTAATACTACCTTTGCCCTTATATGGAGTGACACGTGCCGTATGACGTCTTTGGTTGGATGAATATTAATATATTTTGGAGATAATGAAGAAGTTAATGTTTCCTTTTTCTCCTTAAATGGAGTGACACGTGCCGTGTGACGTCTTTGGTTGGATGAATATTAATGCTACCTTTCTCCTTATACTGTGTGACATGTGCCGTATGACGTCTTTGGTTGGATGAATATTAATACTACCTTTGCCCTTATATGGAGTGAGAAGTGCCGTGTGACGTCTTTGGTTGGCTGAATATTAATACGAGTACAACCTTTATCTTGTTTTTTTACCCGACTCGTTTTGTTCGCCCAATCGCATTAGTTTTGGAATCTGCGGAGGATGCCATCCATAAAATTTACTTGATGTGGCTTATTATAAGCTTACACAGCTTACAATATAAGCGTACTTTCAGGCGGCATACACCATCTTTCTTTGGCTACTCAGGAGGTAATGCGTCAATCATATTATCTTATCGATGTAAAAATTTCATGCCGCTTTATCTCCGACACAACAGCATCGGTGGTTCAGTGGTAGAATTCTCGCCTGCCACGCGGGAGGCCCGGGTTCGATTCCCGGCCGATGCAAATATTTTTTTTAATCTTAATTTTATAACATTTGAGCCGCACACATTGTCCCGAGTAGATCTTTTGCCCATGAAACATACACTTTCTGAGTCTGGCATATGTACAACTTAAGGTTCATTTCGGATCTTTCCGATGTGAGTGTTATATTTAATTAACATATTTTGTTGTAATTATGTCAACGCAGACATATAATACTACCCACCAACCATCACCGTGATTTCTGTATCTGTATCTCTATAGCCGGTATAACTGTCCTTCGGCTTAACACACCTGGTTCTCATGCACGCGGCGCGGCGGCAGCTAGCTACATTACACCGTACAGCTTGTTACACCTAACCTTTTGATAATTAACTCTATAACATTGTTTAAAGCTTTCTAACGATAATGCCCCTACTGAACTTGGTAATAGCGAGCTTAACTCTGCGGTAGTTCTAGGAAAGAATGAGTTTGTTTTAACACATCAATCCTTGGTTGATAACTCTGGTACTTAAAGTACCAGAGAACCTATTTCTTGTTCTTATCTGAGCTTATATTGAAGACCTTTATTGTACGTTTGTGCTCTAACACGCTAAGTACAGGTCATGGATAAACAAGGGAAAAGAAGTAGGTGTGACCACCAGTTAGTGGTATACTGGTAAAATTCTACCCTGCACGTAAGACCGATTAGAGTGTATCAAGAAACTAATAATAGTTATACAGGAGGAAAATCTGTTGGTTTCAGGCAGAAGACACAATAATTGTCCTCATCATTGGTCCAGTAGGCATCTACTGCAAAGCCGCTCTTCTCCACCAGACGGCGCACTTGTCCCGGGTTCCACTTGCAGCTGGTGTTCGGCCCCTCGTAGAAATAGATCTTCTCGCCGTCTTCAAAGTCGATGTCAAGTCCGAGCGTTTCTGGACCAGAAAAAAATGTTACAGAAAATTAGAAACATCGCATATTTTTGTATGTGTGTGTGTTAAACAGCGCAGCAGAAGGTGTACGGCTAGTGTGCATTAGCGCTAGTGCAGCCCCATTTGAATGTGTAAAACTTCATGTCTACAGTCCCATTTCGATTTTTCATCAAAGTAGATTTTCCAAACTGATTGTGGCAGTACTTAGTACCAAGCAGGTTAAATACAGTGTTTAACCTCCTTGTTTAATAGTACCATGGGGTTAAAATACAGATCACTCCATGTTAGCACCGAAGTAAACAAGCAACAATTACGCGCTTGCGTTGAGTTCATGGCATTTAAGTGAAATAAGGTGCTAATAGCTGCTAGTCGGTGACCTCTCAGCAGCTCTATGATTGGTCCCTGCTAGAAACGTACTGGATGTCGTATATTGTACACGGGGGGGGGGGTAATTTGGTTGGGGGCATGTTGGCCCTGGAGGCGAGAAATTGACCCGTGTAGACTCTGGAAACAGTCTGCCATCCAGGCCATGTTGTTCCTATTCACAAGATAATCTCTGAACAAATCCTCACCGAAATGCACCCGCTGTTTGCCGGAACTGCTGAGATGCTTGACCACGTAACTCGGCGTGTCTCCGTCAGCAGGGTTCTCCACAAAGTCGACGTTATACTCAAACTTCTCCGCGTCCATGTCTCCTACAAAGTCCTGAAATAAGTGGACAATTCCGGGAGAAAAGTATTAGTGTCTCACAAACACAACAACAATGAATAAAATTCTGCTCGTAGAATTAAACACTGGTATCCAAATAAAAGACAAGTCGTTGAAGGTTATGAGATACACAAAGAAATTCTTATCATGAAAGCCAGGTTCAAAGAACATACACTGCCAAGCTCTGCCAGTTCGGAGATGTCACAACACATCCACATAGAGTCACCCGGACACTTTGTTTCACTTGACACTGTAAAGATTGTGGACACTGAACAGGACAATTTCTTGAGAGGGGTGAAGGAGGTCATATACATCGCGGCCCATCACCCTTCATTGAACCGCAACGGGGGCCGACATCGTCTACCAGATACCTTTGACCCAGTGTTGACGTCACACTTCAAAGAAGCCACGTGGCAAGGTTCACTGGGTCAGTCTACTGAGGAAGACCATAGTGACTGGCTGAAAGCTCTAGGTGAGAGAATTTTTTGTGTTGGACCAAAAGTTTTAATTTTAAACAAAGTAATTGTTCTTGTTGCAAGTGACTTGTTAGATTTTGAACACTGTCAGACGTTTCAAGTAGCATAAACTACCTGTTCAAGTAGTGGATGCCATTTTTCAAAATCAGGTTCAATCTATCCGGCTGCTTGAGGAACAATTTCCTTGTGCAACAAATCGTTAAGATGAAATTTATGTTAAAAATGTTATGTTAAAAAAGTAAATCAATTATGTATACTAGTGCTTCCCTATATACAAATAACTGAATGTGTTCAGCTGCCTTTGGTAAACCTTCTATTTCGGTAAAATCTTTTATGATCCTCTTTTACATGTCATCGTTGATATTGTCAATTTGCTGTTTTTTTTACTTGTTCCTGTTTTGTTATTACATGTCATCGCTTCAATTTGCTGTTTTGTTACTTTTGTTGTTTTGTTATTACAATTTACGATTGTATGTACTCTTCTTTGTCAGTGGTCAGCTAAGTTTAGCAACCTGTTAGATTTACCCACCACTGTGTCCTGTAAGTTTCTATGTTGGTGAATAAAAAAATATTTGAAATAACCCGAAAACATGCTCCGTATACGTCATCATCATAGCTTGTCGCCAATCCACTGCAGTCAGTTCCGCGCTGCTTCATTGGCCTCCTGGAGATCTGTGTCTGTGCAGGTAGGACCAAGCCTGCAACCTTTCATCAGGTGCTGAATGTGGGTCCTCTCCACAGCTGCAAGTTGTACTGGTGGACTTGCCCCACCGTGCCAGGTTGTCCCCTGTCCTGGCCACCTTAGCCCTTGCCCGGTTCAGGGCGACCCAGTCCCTTCTGTGCAAGTCGGTCCCTGGGGGCAGTGTCTCGCTGGGGGGAGGGAGTGCCCTGTTGTTACTTGGGTGACTCTCCTTCCACAGCTCTATCCTGAGGGTCGCTGGTGTCATGCCCCCGAGGCGTCGGGCCGTCATGAAGCTGCGGCGAGACTTCAGTCGTCGGGGGACCTTCTGGTGTCCGTATAACGGGTGCCTAGGATCACTGAGCTATTTTTCTCGCTCTGTCCTTGTCTGGACATCTCGTCGGATGCCAGGTGGGCAGATACTTGCCAGTGTGTGCAGTGTTGACAGGGGGGGTAGCCATCAGGTTACCGGTGATTGAGCGGCAGGCTCTATTCAGCTCCACATCAACCTTGGGAGCGCGGGGAGACCTCTCCCATACTGCGGCGCAGTACTCAGCAGTGGAGTAGCACAGAGCCAGTGCTGTCTGCTTGAGGGTGTTGGGGTCCGCTCCCCAGCTGGAGTTTACCAGGTTGTAGAGAAGGCTGTTGCGGGCAGACACCTTCTTCCTTAGTTTGGTGACGTGCTCTCTGAAGGACAGAGTCATGTCAAGGGTGACACCAAGGTACACTGGGTGTGGGGTGTTTTCGAGTTCTTTTCCCTCCCAGGTGATTCTGAGTTTCCTCGATGCTGCGTGGTTGTTGAGGTGGAATGCGCAGACCTGGGTCTTCCCCGGGTTGGCGTTCAGGAACCACGTTCTGTAGTACCCCGGTAAAGACTCCAGGGCGTCTTCAAGTCGCTTCTCAATGACTTTAAAGCTTTTCGACTGGGTTGCCAGGCAGAGGTCATCTGCGTAGATGAACCTCCGGATGTTGTTGAAAGTCGGCTGGTCATTGGTATATATGTTGAAGAGCACCGGAGCTAATACTGAACCCTGAGGTAGGCCATTCTTCTGTGTTCTCCACCTACTGCGTTTTCCGTCCATTTCAACAAAGAATCGACGATTTGTCAGGAGCGACTCGATGATACGGACCACCTTGGTGTTCTTGGTTATGTGGGCCACGTGTACGTGTCCGTATACGTGAGGAATCCCTTTATACTTTTGGGCACCACACATAAATACTAGTAGGTAAAACTACTGAATATACGTGTCTGACATATTCTACAACGTGAATACAACAATGGACCACGTTTTAGAATGCAAGTTAGGTCACACCGACTTAGATTTTATGGATGACACCCTCTGAAGATCCCCAAACTATTGCGCGCGGAGATTGAATAAAAAATTCCGGTCAAAAATAAAAATGCTACCAAACCACAGGAATACAAATATGGTATTGTGAATTTGCGGCAGTGCATAGCGACGTACACGACAAACCAGCTCATGCTGGCTTTTTGCGTAATCTATGAGTCGGCACTGTACGTATGTACTGAGTTCTTCAGTCGTGGAGCTTTGGTGCCATCCTCCAGAGTTACCACCGGATCCGTATTGTCGCTAACTACAATGGAGTACACAGGACTAGAGCCAGGCCAGACGTGATCCAGACGTGATTTTTTTGAATTGGCCAAAATCAATGCGCGCGTAGACGTCATTAATAAAATTAAGTCGGTGTGGCCTTACCTTATTGAAACGGTTGATGAGGTTGTCTCGCCATATCGGTGCCCACTGTTTCCCGTACGCCTGCAACAAGGTCTCCCGGTCTGTGTTCATGTCCAGCCCCAGCACAAACCTGTCAGCAGCTACAGTAAATGGGAAGGAAGTCTCAGTTCTTAGCTTTTTTTTCTCCACATTTATTTTACCAGTATATATATCACACCCAGTGCTATGACCTGCTTTTCAGGTATCACTTGGTACATTAATGAATACTTACATACATACATACTCAATAAATACAGCAGGAAAACAAATTACTTATTTCATTTCATTTATTTCGAATTAAGCCTTTTAGCCCTGCAGGGCTTAAACATTACACTTACGTAATCACATACATGGAACATACAGCGAATACATTTAAAAAGACATAAAATACATCAAAACATCAACAATGGACACACAAATCGATATTCACAATTTAAAAAAAAATAAAAATAAAAACTAGAGGTTGAGGTTCATGTAACACTGTTTGCGACATTGATATGAAGCAAATAACGTGGAACACGTCTTCAGAACAAGTTAAAGAAAGCAGCCTTCATACGTCGATGAAGGTTAGACATCCAGGTAATACGATACGCCAAACAGCAGTTACTCAAACAACTGGATATGATTTTGAAAACGTCAGACGTTTCAGCTAGTATCCACTAGCTTTCGCCAATGACTGAGAGACCAGAGAGGAAAGGCAGGTTGATAAGCACAAAATATTGATTGAGATGCAAATAAAGTGAAGACAATTTTTCGAAGTTGAAAATGGAACAAAAGTCATATCAATCAATAGTTTGTGCTTATAAACCTGCATTTCCTCTCTGGTCTAGATCTCTCAGTCACTGACGAAAGTTAGTGGATACTAGCTGAAACGTCTGACGTTTTCAAAATCATATCCAGTCTCGAGTAACTGCTTTTTGGCTTCATACCCTTTAGGTTTGCCCGAATCTCTTGTAGCATCTTCCCCTGCTCACTGAGCGGAATGTTACTGAAACTGTTGCCGAGGAACAGGAACAACTTTGCCTCCTCCCGGGCGGCAGCGTGCCGCACCCCGTCCATGTACAACCCGCCGAACGGCTCCACGGTCAGACCGGGGTATTCCCTCTCCAGCTGCCGACCGCAGGACTCTATAAACTCTGTACGTGTGCATGTGAACATACAGACTAAGTGTAATGCTGAGGTCCCATTTCCAAACCGGGGCCCGACCGGGCTGTTTTGAATAACGAAAAATCAACAATTTTTATCAAGAATATACGCAAATGGTTTCATCCATCGGAAACGATGGACAACCAGAGGGTTTCATTCTTATTTTTTTTCAACTTTTTTTGTGCTTTGTTGCCTCTTATACCATATTTTTCGTTCCATAAGACTGCCTAGCCGGGCCCCGGTTTGAAAATGTGACCTCAGCATAAATGGGTGCGGAAATGTAGGTGTTACTGTAGCAGTTTGTTCATTTGTTTGTTTTTATTGCATATAAACAGTAGTGATGTAAGCGTGTAGTGAAATGAGCATGATTTGTCTGGGGTATTACCCGTACATTTGACAAATCATAATAATAGTAATAAATCCAATCAATTGTAAGACTGTAACGTTTTCCAGTATATACATGTACATACTATACAGCGTGGCACTGCGTAAAGGGTGCCCGTCACACACCCAGGAACTTACCTAGACATTGCCCTCAAACACTAGCCTATCATTGTTAACTGATGTTAAGGTGTATTCTGACGCCTACCATTTTATCCGAATTGAATCGAATTTGGTCGGCTGTTGTTCGGGGAAAGGTTCTGGATGTGTGACGTGGGGCTTTATAATTGATAACAAGAATTCGTAGATCTCATACCTCCATGAAATGTATGAGTTTTCGTAAATGTTTTTTCTTTGTCTCATTGACTATGGAAATAAGGTCGTAATTAGCATAATCTAGTTAAATTTATGGTTTTCTAAATTCAAATGACAATATTTATCGTGTAAAATTACTCTCCTTTGTCATACTTCTGGTTTTTGTATCTTTTGTCCTGAACATGTTATGGTCTTGACTTTTCAGTGACAGATAGCTTTTCTTGTCAGAAATAAGTGGTGTGGGTTTGGTTCCCCTAGCAGCTTGTTCTGGAACTGCAGGGGACTTTCTGGCGAAATCTTTAAAAGCCAATAAGTCCAGATAGAAACAACATATTTTCATCATTTTTGGTGTGTGGGTAGCTGAAAGAGGGTTGTACATATTTAAATGCAAATTATGCAAATGAGGACTTAATTTGCATAATTAATGAGGAAACCATAATTATAGTGTTTTATATAATAGTATTTTATACATGTAATCTATTTAATCTGTGGCAGGCGGAACATCTACAGATACCAATTATAAAAATGATGACCTAATTTGCATAATTTATGTTAAATTTCTGTGACGCCTTATTGGTGAATGATGGGAATTTTATACCTTGTGACATGTGTAAGTTTCTTAAAGGTTAACACCACTATGCATATATTATGTTAATGTAGGGGTCATTCGCATAATCAATGAGGACATGTTGAAATGAAGTATGAGGAAGGAATTTTATACGAAAAATATTGTCATTTGAATTTAGAAAACCATAAATTAAACTAGATTATGCTAATTATGACCTTATTGCCATTGTCAATGAGACAAATAAAAACATTTACAAGGACTCATATATTTCATGGAGGTATGAAATCTCCGAATTCTTGTTCATGGAGGTAATAACTAGTAGTTCTATCCTAAACGATGGGGAAAAAATGGGGTTCGATACACAATATAGAAGACATTTCTGCTGCGGCCCAAAACAGAAGTACCTGGAAAAGTTCTGTCAGAACTACTAGTCGACCGATGCAACAGTAGTTGCGGAAGGATCTAACGTCTAAGGTAAGGTTACCCTTCGCCATATCCACAGGCACAAACGTGAGTCTTCCGCGTCGCTTCCGCATAGCCTCGATAACCAGGCGCGTTTTGGAGGACCCTCCGCTGCCGAGATCAACGAGAACGGCTGAGAACGAGACTTTGGCGACGATTTCGTCTGCGTGACCCTGAAGTATGTTGAACTCGTGTTGCCAGCTGTTGTAGGTCTTTGAGTTCTGTATCAGTCTGAAGAAATAAAACGAACAATGAAACAAACAAAAATCTGCGATTACAAACAACCGGAAAGTATATATAATGCATAATAATCACAACGACTGCTGACAATTTCAGACATCAAACTAGCAATGTTAGCAGAAACAGATGGGTGATGGAACAGTTAAAATGTACAAATATATGTGCAATAAAGTTCTTTTCATAATCAGGGTTAGAAGCTACGGCGAATGGATACCGCTTGGCCAACTTGATACTGACTTGTAGTCACCTAAAGATCTGCCTGGAGATTACGAAACAGGACATTATTACAAAGAGAGGTGACAAAACTAAACGTGAGAGAGAGAAAGACCATGCGTGTGTGTGTGTGTGCGTGCGTGCGTGTGTTTGTGCGTGTTCCTGTGTGTGTGTGTGTGTGCCGTGTGGGTGCGTGTGTGGGTGCGGGCATACGTATGTGTGCGTGTGTGTATGTGCGTGCATGTATGTGTGTGTGTGTGTGTGTGTGTGTGTGTGTGTGTGTGTGTCGTGTGTGTGTATGCGCGTGCGTGTATGTGTATGTGTGCATGCATGTGCGAGTATGTGTGTGCCGTGTGCGTGCGTGTGCGTGTGTGTGCATGTGCAAGTGCACGTGTGTGTGCGTGTGTGTGCGCGCGCGTGTTTGTATGTGTGTGTGTGTGTGTGTATGTGTGTGTGTGCGTGCGTGCGTGCGTGTACGTAAAGCATACTCACTCCTCACACATCTCCGACCCGCGTGTGTCGTACACGTACCACTGCGGCACGTATCTGCGTGATGACGTCAGGCTCTTTATCACTGACATCAGCTCATCGGAAACGTCATCACGGTTGATGACGTACTCGTCGTTACTTACGTCAGTGATAACGTCACTTGTTTGTCCATTCATCATCCTTGCTCTACGTAGAGAATAAAACATAATATAATTACAAATCCACATGAAATCCCCTATACAATTCAGATTGACTTCATGTAAACATTCTTCTAAGAACATTTTCTCAATTTCTCACCATTTATTACATTTTGGTGACCTAAATTCTCAGTAACTAAAACATTATTTGTTATTGTTACTTGTTGGGCCGGCTACTCTCTTCTTGCAGCTGAGGAGCTTAAAACTATATGGGCTTAATCGCAAGGGTCTGGAGTGGCTGACATTCGGCGCCAACTCAGTTGACCTTAATATGACCCCGGGTTCGGCCATAGGAATGTAAGGTTTGGACCAGTCACACCGATAAAGTCCCCTGCATTATATTTATTCTTCTTCTTCTTCTTGATACTCTCGAAAAACCCCTACTGGGGTATCACTGAGAGGGGGGGGGGTTACGACGGACTATGACTGCGCGGCCAGGAGTCCGGCCTTAAAGGCCTCCACTCTCTCGGCTTGTACTAACTGTCCCGGCAGCTAATTACACTCTTTTATTGTTTGTGGCAAAAAAGAAAATCTAAAACAGTCTGTTTTGGCAGATATTACTTGATATTTATATTCATGACTAACCCCTGGTGGGGTCGGCCCTATGTTACGACAGCCCTATGTTACGACAGCCCTATGTTACGACAGCCCTATGTTACGACAGCCCTATGTTACGACAGCCCTATGTTTTGACGCCCCCTTTTTTCAACGTGATTATGGCTATGTTCAGACACCAAATGATAAATTGTAAATGTATGGAGTGTAATGATCTCGAAGAAAATGTTCACGTAATAAATTGTCACTGACAGTGTTTCCGCCAGACTGCAGCAGAGATCCTGAGAGGCCGTCCAGTTGGGAAGGGCCGGGTCGCGAATTAATTAACTAAGGGAACACGTCGCGAAAATTAATTGAGGGGGCGGGGCATTTGTTTACACTTGTTAACAAGTTGAAACTGTCCACAAGCATTCCACATTTTTTTGACATTAAAAAAAAAACACTGCTACAAATGGCAAACGTATCGCCAGTAATACTTAATTAGGACATTCTGCTGCAAAACTCCGAACATCGGCATCATTTAATTGTAACCTCCAGTGGCGCCTGCGATAGCCGGATTTTAATAGTGAAGAGCCTTGCTTCGTCCGTACTTCTTCCGTACTAGCAACATTTCCGGTGTAAAGAAGTGTCATCTTATCTCTCATACACGAGACAAATTTTGAAAATAACTTGGCTGTATCGTAGCTTTCATTGCTGTTTTATTCAACAAAAGTGCTCCTTGGTTGTAAAATGATCACTCATCTGTTGTCTCCAGTACAGTTTCAAATGGTAGCGTGATCGTAGCGTGCGAAAAATCGGCGTTAAAGGTCAGAAAATCGCTGGAAAATAACTTGCATCACACATTCGCTACCTCGCCGTAGAAGAAAATACGCGCATTTTCTCATTAATATAATGCTAATATGTAAGTAGCAGCGTGAACTCTACACTCTGATTCGTTGACCTCATATGACCTGCGCTCTGATTGGATAGAGCCATCTTTGCAGAGCTGCAGTTTGTTTGTTGGCGAAGAGAGTTACACTACGCTACTTTCTACGGTGTTTCTACCACTACTTAGTAACACTCCATTAAAGAAATTCATTATTAAGAATTTTTGGGAAAATGTATGTATCCATATTGAGTGGTGCCTTTTCAAGCAAGCCGGAAGTGTTAGCGAACCGCGGCGTGGATAGCGAACTGCGGCGTGGATTTTCATGCAACCCGCCCGCTACAAGACCATCAAAAACGTAACTCCTAAAAGAGAATTTTCAAATCCGAAATGATTTTGTTCGATGAGAAATATTTGTGGATACATTTTACCGGATGGAAACTTGAAAAACTGGCTTTAATGAGATTAACGTATGCGAAAGGCGCCGACATCAATTGTTCGTCAGCATATAACAATAACAATAGCTGTTGTAACATAGGGCTGTCGTAACATAGGGCTGTCGTAACATAGGGCTGTCGTAACATAGGGCTGTCGTAACATAGGGCTGTCGTAACATAGGGCTGTCGTAACATAATGCTGTCGTAACATAGGGCTGTCGTAACATAGGGCTGTCGTAACATAGGGCTGTCGTAACATAGGGCTGTCGTAACATAGGGCTGTCGTAACATAATGCTGTCGTAACATAGGGTATGAACCCCCCTGGTACGCCTATGGGTTTAAGATATTGTTCCGTTTGAATATTGATATGTCCAAGAGCAATTTTGTATAAAGATATCAAGCGAGCGGTTCTCCTTCTGTCAACAACTAACGGCCACTGGAGGCGCTATTCAATAAGGAATAACAGCACCGTCACATTTATCGTGGATTGTATGACTTACGTGCCATACCTACAGATTTTTAGCAGGTTGTTACAGAATCAACCACTGACAAGGATGTAACTTAACAGACACGAACAGCAAAAGCCGGCCTCACTGAAGCAAAACTCACCCGACCAGTTTAGACAATCAGCAATGCAGAATCACAGAGTTGGAAATTTAAGTTAATATTTACGTATTAGTAAAATACATTCATCGTACGGGTTTTCAAGCAGATGCAGGTTGTGACAGAATCAACCACTGACAAACATCTTGACATTTTTTCACGTACAGCCAAAGTCGTATTCACTGAAGCTGAACTCACCCGACTAGTACAGACAATCAGCAATGCAGAATTTCAGAGTTGAAAAAAAGACAAATTATTTTGCAAAAAGCGGCAATTCCCAGTTTTTTTTCATCAAACGTCAAGACCATTGCTTGGATTTTATGTTTTGGTGACTAGATTTCGTATCAAGGAATGAAGTTCAGTCACTAAAACATGATATTCGTAAACACTCATTATCGCCGTATAGCTTTGATGCCGTGGAGTTTTCAAGTAGGATGTGATAGAATCAACCACCCACAAAAACTCAATACAGTTGTTTTTTTTTTCCACAAGACACATACAGCTGGAATTTTGAGGACACATGTGACTATTAAAAAAACAAGACAGGTACAAGTGAAATTTGGAGGACAGACAGGACAATCTTAAGAAACAAGGTACAGGTGAAATTTAGTGGACACTATTCAAAGAGAGCCCACAGTAAAGCTACGGTCACAACCCGCCGTACGTGCTTCTCCGTGCTGTCTACGTGCAAAAACGGCATCCGTGCGTGGTGAGTACCGCCTCCGTACGGAATCCTACAGATTTGTGAGCACGCAGACACGCCGTAGAACTTTAAGTGTATGTAAAACTTTTTCTACGTGCGGTCTGCGGATTCACCACCCGTGCGTGCGAGTACGAGCGACGCGCGTGCCCCGTACGTGCCGTGTGGAAGAAGCAGGTGTGAGTACGGCCTCCTTACGATAAAGTTGCAATCGCACAGAGATCGTACGTTGTAAGCACGTACAACTCACTTACCACTTGCGCAACGTACGATGCACGCAACCGCTCACGGCCAGACGTGGCGTGCAGACCACACTCTTACACCTTGCGCAACCGTGCGAGTGACGTGCGTCGACGCCACTCCTTCCCCACGTTTTCAGAAAAAACGTAGCGGACGTAGCCTCCCAAAAAACGTACGGACAAAAAGCACGTACGGCGGGTTGTGACCGTAGCTTTAGTCGACAAAATGTTCGAATAGAATGACAATGTTGTACTTACATTTTCCACGTGTTATCCGCAAGCTTTAGCTGGCTTACCTGACCAGGAGCTTAGCAAGAGTTCACCGGTTGTAATAAATTCTACACCTGGAACATAAGGCTGGTTAAGCCGGTTCGGTGATTAGACAGAATAATTTTACTGAATGCTTGTGTCTACATCGTGTTTCTTGTCTGTTGTCTGTTCTTGTCTTGTCTGCTGATATGTGTGTTGGACAAGTTTGAGGCAAAGTCGGAAATTCGGGAATCTGATATAAGAAGATATGCACTTTTTTTCCGAAAAAAACTGAATAAGGTAGTTATGTTAAGCTTTTGGCCCAAATTACGCCGATGCCCGTCGGAGATATAGCCCCGTAGTCCGCTGCCGTGGTAACAATTACCGTGCTCGACCGATGCATTGCGTAGTTAGTACGTATGACCTGAGTAACAGCGTATGTAGCGTAGTTTTGGGCATCCTGAAAACTACACCGCGTACTGAGTTGCACTGTGCGTGTCCTGTGCGTATGCCGGCGTACATATAACTTTCACAAAACGACTGAGATGCATATGACGCGCGTATTATGCGTACGGCTGCGTACGTACGAACGTAACTCATACGCATAGCGATGCGCAGAAGTGTGAAAGTGCTCCAATATCTGTTGGATTCCGTACGGAGGCGGTACTCACCTATTGCGAATCCCACAAATGTGCCCACGTTTTTGCAAGCAAACAGCACGCAGTTGCACGTACGGCGGGTTGTGCCCCTCGTTTTACATTCACTTAGTTCTTTCTCTGAGAGGACTGCATGTGTCGTACCAAGGAGGTGGTCGCACAGACATCCAAACAGAAGATGCTGAAGACGTAGCAAATTTGTCCCGGTGGTCTGTCGGGAACCGGAGGGGTACCTCTCGGTGTCCTCACGGTTTATAGGTCACGACGATTTCACGTCAACGGGACCCGGGTAGAATTTAAGTCAGAGTTAAATTCTTCTCGGGTCCCGGACGGGCAAAAATAGCCCGGCAGCCGCAGGGGTCATGCTAGCCTAGGTACCATCGTGATTTTTTCGAGCGTTGCGGAGCGAAAATCTGGATAACATCCAAGCTAGGGTCACGCCCGAAAGTGTCAAAAAACAGTCCGGGAACTACCCAGCAGGGCCCCTTTTTTCGATTGAAACCAAAACTTAACTTGTACAGTGGGTGTTTGCTGAGGAGGTGTTTACTACCGTGGCCGACAAGAACAAAATTTTACACCGCAACTTTTGGTGTTTTACACTGCAACTTTTGGTGTTTTACACTGCAACTTTGGGTGTTTTACACTGCAACTTTTGCTGTGTTTTACACTGCAACTTTTGCTGTGTTTTACACTGCAACTTTTGCTGTGTTTTACACTGCAACTTTTGCTGTTTTACACTGCAACTTTTGCTGTGTTTTACACTGCAACTTTTGCTGTGTGGAAAACTTACACCCCTCCCCTTTTATAATGGACGGTCCCCTTATCAGGTCAAAGGTGACAACGATGGCATGCAAACTACGTCGACTGAGTTATCCTTTTCGTGCATAAGTTTTTTAGAGGAAAAGCTTGGCTACGTTGTGACGTTAGTTTTTTTCTAAAGGTTTTTCTAGCTTTGGCCTATAGATCGGGATAAATTTAAAAATGTTTCGACCAGGTCCAGTGATTACAAATTATGTTGCTTTTTGCGTCACAACAAATTTATCAAGGCGGCACAACACAGTATTAGCCCTATGGGGATTTCTATAGTTAAGGACCCCAAAGTGACTCACTTCGACTCACGGAAAATCATACTAGGGTGCACAAGCAAGGTTCAGAATTTTGATATGTTTAATTTCAGGGTATAGTGTACGAAATATGTGAAAATGAGCTTAAATTTGCCGGCTAAATCTGGATATGCAGCCGTGGAAAACAGCGTTTTGGCGCATATTTTCAAACAGAGAATTTATTGAAACTGGACACCCCTCTGTGCGAAGTGTAAGGAAAGTGGACCAAACCGATAATACATCAAAGGTCAATGTGCGCGACCATTTTCAGGGTCAAAGGGGTGTTCGGGTGCCACCAAAAGTCTTAATTTTCACGCCCGAAAACACATCTACAATAAAAGCAAAAGAACGTGCATCATCTACAGCCCAATAGCAAAACAAATACCGTCCGCCCCAATGCGAGAAACAGCTGCGAACATGAAAATCCCAAACTATTTTAATACCCTTCCGCAGAAGGATGTCTCCTTCCCCAGAGGTAACAAAGAGTAATCTTGCATAATACCAGTGCAAAGCAATCAGCACATAGACTCTTCCAGAGTTTTGGCTTCATCTATAATAGAGAGTTAGACCGAATATAACAAAAGCTTGTGAATGCTGTGCTATTCCTATATATTTAACACCACACCATGATATTACATAGATTTTTGGCCTAACTAAACAGCTAAGAAACTATGAAGAATTGATCTGTGACAGTTCGTCCTGTTGTTCGGAGGCGGTGGAGGGTGTGCCGATGGTGCTGGTCTGGCCCTGGGGCAGCTCCATATTCAACTCTAACCCAGCTTCATCAGCCACCTGGCGCATCAGGTGGTCCACCTGGTCCGTCGAGACGTTCAGGGTCGTGGTGCCGCTCATGGCGTCCTCCATCTGCGCGGACTGGACGTCCAGATCCTCAAACTGCCGCTCGAACTTGTCCATGAGCGCGGTGACCTTCTCCAGGTTCATGGAGCGCATCGCAGATTCCATGGACTTCACCACGCCAGCCATGTCCTGCGTCACCTGGGTAGTGACATTGTGAAGAAAACATTAAAATGTATAATGAGCAATGTTTTTAGTAAGGCCACAGCAAGTAAATTTTATGGATGATATCCTCCACAGACTCCAAATCTAATGCGAGTGGGCAAAAAAAAAAAGGTGGGCCGAAAAAAACAAGGTTCCTACATCTTCAAATTTTGACTCAATTATTGTAACGGTTTTGATACAGTGGGAACATCACATATACACAGCCAGCATCACATATCACTGCATCAAAGTAAAAAACAAAACATTAAGTCAGAGCCCTTTTCTTGTCTCCTCTCTTCATAGCATGGGAACAGATATCTCTGCCCATTTTCGGCATGTTGACCACTGTCAGAGGGCAACAAAATTTCTTTTTTTCCCCCCAAAATCAGGCAAAAATCAATGCTCGCGCTGATGTCATCCATAAAAATTACTTGCTGTGGCCTAAGTACATTTGCAAATAAAACGTTAAAATGTATAATGAGCAATACACTTGGGATCGCGATGACGTCACAGCCAGCAAGTGGTAAAAAAACAGGTGGCTGATTTGCATATGTCTTCAAATAATTTGCATGTACACATGTAAGAATTTAAAAAAAAAACATTAATTTAGTAAGAACATTCTAAGAGCAAGTTAACCACGGTGCAATTCAGGCAACCATAATATAATTAATAATGGTACCTCGCAAGGTCATTGTCTAAGCACTACTAGTATACAAGTGTATACATGATGTCAGGGTTCGAAATACTGTGTGCATAATATAAATGATAATGATATGCACCTTAGTGCAGATAAAATTGTTGCTGTGCAGGTATTTCTGAATTTCTACCTGCACTGGTCCATGTTTATATAAACAGATGTGGATGTAGATGTTTATTTGCTGCACTGACTGTGAACTATACATTACTAGTAGTATAAAAGAAAGGATGGCAGTGGTATCTGAATAGTTTTTAATAAATATGATCCATTCTTCTTAAAATCTGATGGGAGCGGGTAAAACTTGTCTGGTGAAGCAAGGATGTTGAAAAAAAATCCTTTTTGAACCTCCTTGAGTGAAGGTAGTTTTCATTGTTATTTAACTTTAAGTACTTGCACCAGTGCAGTTATGCAGAAAGAATTTTTTCGAGCCCTGTCACTGTAGTGTGTACGTTTAGCTGGTTCACTCACCTTCTTCATGGTGACGGCCGTCTGTACCCTCTGCGCCACGGCGTCTATCCTGGAACTCATCCGCAGGTAGTTGAGGGACTGGTTGTGCTGTCGGATGGAGTTCTCGGCGTGAATGCGGGCGCCTTCCATGTTGTTTTTCTGGATCGCCTTCTTCAACTTGTTCTTTTCCTCCTTCTCCATTTCGTCGCACTTCTTGGCGTTCCTCTGCAAGTCCTTGGCCGCGAATTTCAGATTAAAGAGGGGTTTCTCCATGTTCGACATCTTGAAGGCTTGTCTGTCCTGCTACAAGGTGTTTTAAAGCGTTGGGAGTGACCAGAAACACAGAAAGTCACACAGCTATAATTTACACACAGATGATGACGAAGTGACTCATCCGGAAATTCTGGTGCTGACGTCACGTGAGGGTGAAAGGTTGACGAGGGGAAAGAATTAACGCCTCCGGGTCAGGAGCGCACCTAGCGGAATTATCTAGAGCTGCAGGTGTTTTTTCCGGGTCCGGCCGGGTTTGCCATATACATTTGTACGACGCCACTCGGCAGATAGGTGGCCAGGAATATTTACCAGAGCATAGGCTATATGAGGTTTTGTATCGTTGCCGTACAGGGTATTTTACCGTGGCCGACAAGAACAAAATTTTACACCGCAACTTTTGGTGTTTTACACTGCAACTTTTGGTGTTTTACACTGCAACTTTGGGTGTTTTACACTGCAACTTTTGCTGTGTTTTACACTGCAACTTTTGCTGTGTTTTACACTGCAACTTTTGCTGTGTTTTACACTGCAACTTTTGCTGTTTTACACTGCAACTTTTGCTGTGTTTTACACTGCAACTTTTGCTGTGTGGAAAACTTACACCCCTCCCCTTTTATAATGGACGGTCCCCTTATCAGGTCAAAGGTGACAACGATGGCATGCAAACTACGTCGACTGAGTTATCCTTTTCGTGCATAAGTTTTTTAGAGGAAAAGCTTGGCTACGTTGTGACGTTAGTTTTTTTCTAAAGGTTTTTCTAGCTTTGGCCTATAGATCGGGATAAATTTAAAAATGTTTCGACCAGGTCCAGTGATTACAAATTATGTTGCTTTTTGCGTCACAACAAATTTATCAAGGCGGCACAACACAGTATTAGCCCTATGGGGATTTCTATAGTTAAGGACCCCAAAGTGACTCACTTCGACTCACGGAAAATCATACTAGGGTGCACAAGCAAGGTTCAGAATTTTGATATGCTTAATTTCAGGGTATAGTGTACGAAATATGTGAAAATGAGCTTAAATTTGCCGGCTAGTTCTCTTCTCGCGCCCTCTTTTATTAGCGCCACTGCGGAGGTCATGGAACTGCAGCCGACGCACAGTACTAGGCGGGACAAGTATCCAAGCGCAAATCTACGCCGACTAAACACGCACCATAATCCAACTTTTACAGTCTCAAAACTGACGTATTCCTCTAACATTTAGCAAAGGTTCTGTCTCGATGCCATGCACAGAACAATCTCTGCACCCTTCCCTAGTATTGTGTAGCACTACTTTGTGCCCGGACTACTTTTGACTACGGGGTTCGCCCATGAATACTGTGTTGTGCGGCCTCAAGGACTCTCAGGCCGCCGCCATCTTTGTCACCTTTGACCTGACAGGGGGACCGTCCATTATAAAAGGGGAGGGGTGTAAGTTTTCCACACAGCAAAAGTTGCAGTATAAAACACAGCAAAAGTTGCAGTGTAACACACCAAAAGTTGCAGTGTAAAACACCAAAAGTTGCAGTGTAAAACACAGCAAAAGTTGCAGTGTAAAACACAGCAAAAGTTGCAGTGTAAAACACAGAAAAAGTTGCAGTGTAAAACACCCAAAGTTGCAGTGTAAAACACCAAAAGTTGCGGTGTAAAACACCAAAAGTTGCGGTGTAAAATTTTGTACTTGTCGGCCACGGTACCCGACAAAAAATGATTGTGTCCGAACAGTGTGAGTTTAGGTCCACCATAAAATCCCTTTCATCCCTCAGACGACCTGATCTAAAAAGGATTTGAGATGAAAGCCTGTTTATTACTGACAGGATCAGGCAGGGAAGTTTCGGCGTCCGGGCGATTGTCGGACGTATACGCTTATTTTGACCTGAGTACTGCGGTGGGGCACAGTGAGCCAAAAGAGGGCCTCTTGCGGGTCATGGGTAATTGCCATACTAGCAGTGTGTACACCGACGATTTATTTTGGTACTTCTTTTTTAGATAATTTTTTTTCTTGAAAGAAAGGCCCAGTTTTCTGGTAAGAAGGACAGAAGAATGTATATTTTTAAACTATGGCCAAAAAGTCTGACATTTTTCATGGTTTGACCTGTTATTAGCCTTTAAAAACTTGTGATCTTGTTACCTGCTATTAGCTGCGTGTATTAGCGATGGCTTGGGGATTTATCTCCCTTTTGTGTATTTGAGGATTTACAGATGAGTTTTTGATAGCCTATAGTCTGTCAACAGCATAACTTGAGAAAGCTTAGGTGGATTATCTTGATATTTGGTGGGTGGGTAGGTCTTGATGGGACCTGGAAATGATTAGACTTTGGACCCCCTAGCGGCTTGTTGTGGTACTGCAGCTGAACTTCCAGTTTTGATATCTCATGATCTACACATGCTGGGGTGACGAAATCTGGATGGTAGGTAGCTCTTTTGTTGGGGAAGAAGTGGCGTGAGCTTGGGCCCCTAGCGGCTTGCTCAGGAACTGCAGGTCTATCTGTTTGAAAATATTCAAAAGAGGATAACTCAAGAACCGGTGGACGGATCGTCGTGACTTTTGGTATGTAGGTAGCTTACGTGATGGTCGGTATAATTATGCGGCAATTATGCAAATCTGGATGTAATTTGCATAATTAATGGAGAAATTCTATAAATCAGCTGCATTACATTGTAGGACTATTCAAGCTTGTGACATGTAATTGAGAACGAGAGAAACACAGGCAGATATTGATTATGTAAATTAATACATAATTTGCATAATTAATGAGAAAATGTAATAATTCCATAATGCTAACTGCCTGGAATTTCATACTTGGGGTTGCTGGTGTCTTTTCTAAATTTAAAGCGACCAGTGTTACTGCAGTAACGTACGGACCTCCCACGACGCCCATTTCCGAACTTTATCTTGCTATCGTCAACGGTAACTTGCTCGCAAAAAATCGTGAACATCCATTTGCAGATTCTCGAATTATCCCGCTAACA